TTATCGAAACAATAGTTTCCTTCTCCTATGAATTTTTTATAAATTAGCTCAATCGCAGTGGGGAAAGAAAAAAAGATAATAGTCAAACAGAGACGGAGGATAACAACAAAAACAGAGATTTGGATCATGAAGAAAAGGTTTCAAACTCGACTCCTACACATCTGCTTACAGATCCGTGTGTATTCGATACTAACCAATTTGCCAAGTAAGTTGCTTCTTTTATTTCTTCAAACGTATCGTGTATATTGGCTAGACTTATAAAGTTAAGACATATAAAGGTTTGTCTAAAAATAGTCTTATATCACTTCTAGGAATTTCACTTTCACAGGTTTGTATGTTCATTTTTATTGAAACTTAGGCGGTAGGCTCACATCAGTATTTTTTTTTGAATTCATTGATAGACTGCATTTATACACTATGCCGAAATACATTCATTTGTCCACCGCCCCTTCCCTTTTCTCCGCCCGCGTTTTTCAGTCTTTAAATGCTTGAGGAGTGTCTAGGTAGAACTTTTCTTGTGAAATGTCGACTTATTTGTCCATACTTTGGTTTTGAATTAGGTTGGTGCGTGTAGCACTTTTAAAAATTTGAATTCGCAAGCTTCCTTCATGTGTTCTGCATATGTGAACATCTAAGCACCATAGAGTTCATTATTTAACAGATTTTTCTCTCCAGTGAACTAAACACACTCAATGGGTTCAATAAATGAGCAAGTATATTTACTGAGATAACTGTGAAAGTATTGTGGACAAAGACTGTCCAAAGATAAGGCTTGGTATCAAAATGACAAGTGAATCTCAGCAATCAATTTCTACTCGGTTAAGCAGAATACAGTTGTTATATTATGCTCTATAACTGCACTGCTTCAATTAAAAACCAAACAGTATTCACAATTAGTAGTTGATTAAATCACATACTGTACCCTATGCTGATCATGTATATTTATATATATACATATATATATATATATATAAATGACCTAAAATATCCATGGAGTCATGAAGAAAATAGAAGACAGATTCAGCGCAGAAAATTTTCTTTATCGACAAAACCCTCTCTGCAGGTTGTACAGTCGTATTTGTATTTACCAAAAATGTATAATAGTACCGCCGAAACCTAAAACCCATTGTACCACTTGGTCTTACCTTGTTGATCATCTTGAAAGATGACTCTGGTGAAGCTGCGTGACTTGAATTCGCCAAGTGCTCGAGAAATAAGCTAGTAACTTTCTTGCACTGTCCTTTTGTTAACCGTGCCGAATAATGTTGACAGATACGTTTAAAAAGTGTTTGCATTTTTGAGCTCACTATAACCAGCTTCACAGGAGAAGGTGGATTTACAAGCACATATTTAAGTGGCCCAAATCAGCAGTTTATTCTTCACACATCCATTGATAATTTGTCAGCTGTAGAAATTGATCCGTACCTCAGCCGTGAAGAAGCCTTTTCTCAATGATCTGCATAAGCGTTTCTTTAAAATCTCACCTGTGGTATGACTGCACAACTTTTGAGGATGATTTCGTCGATAAAGAAAATTTTCTTTACTAAATTTCTTTTCAGGATTTCATCATGAGCTGACATTAGTTAGAGAACCATTGGAAAACCAACAAGGAGTACTGGACAGCTGTTTCGTCAGCCTAGTTTGGGACTCCTCAGCAGTACGCACCCACCGGGATTCGAACCCAGGACCTTCTGGTTACAAGGCGAGCTCGTAGACCATTGAGCTACTGGGACCCGATCCAATGGTCCTTGAATTCTAACTTCTGCCAATTCACGACACAGCGCGAGCGCTAGCCAATGTCTGCGGCGAGTATTTGTCCTCACACCCGACCAGCTGCACCCTACTGGTATACGAGCTCGCCTTGTAACCGGAAGGTCCTGGATTCAAATCTCGGTGGGTGCGTACTGCTGAAGAGTCCCAAACTAGGATGAAACAGCTGTCCAGTACTCCTTGTTGGTTTTCCAATGGTTCTCTAACTAATATCAGCTCATGATGAAATCTTGAAACCAATCAAATCCCTACAAACCAACACTTCAATTTCTTTTATTTATAAATGAATAGTACATGTATGGTATTTCAATGTCAATTTCATCAGTAACCGATTGCTGAAAACCAGTAGTACTGGACAGCTGTTTCAACTTTATTTTAGACTCCTCAGCATTCCATAACCTCGATCTCATTAGGAATTGAACCCAATACCTTGAGGTTACGAGGCCAAACTATTTGGGCCATAATACAAACAACCTTTGAATTCTACTTTTGTAATTTAGTGATACAGCTTTGACACCTACCACTGTCATCGGTGAACATTCAATTCACCCGGATATAAGGGTGGGGGTCCATTAGCCACGAATCCTCACTACAACTTCAAGATATCTACTCAACTTGACCTCGTAACCTAAATGTCCCGAGTTTTATCCTTGGGAGTACACTGCTGTAGAGTCCCAAACTAGGACAAATAGTTGTTGAGTACAGTCTAGTATTCAGCAATTCTCTGTGTGATATTGGTTTGTGATGAAATCTACTAAAGAACTTGATCAAAATCCTTGTAAATTCCAGAATATAAATATGTAAGATCAATCTTTTAGTCATTAAAAGAAACGACATTCAACTGATTTAAATCTCTACTCGCCGATGGTTTTCATTCGTTTCGTTCAATTAATTGTTTCTTGTTCTGTATACATTTCACAAGTCACTAGAATGACTTTTTTCAGAACACGCTACTGTAAAACACATGGTTGAAAGCAATCTGCAGAAAACTTTGCACCTAGGTTTCGTGTTAGCTGGCATTTCCAGTCAGCAAGGTTTATCTACAACCTTAAGTAGTGTACAATCAAAAAGTATCCAATAAAGTCCCAGAAGAGATCAGTCGTTATCCCGAATAGCTCAGTGGTAGCGTCTCTGACTGTAGTGTCCACTGAGTGACATGAGTTTGAATCTCAAAAGAGACATGAGCTCCTTCAAGGTTGCGTATACGCTTAGCTGACTGGTAAGTGCCAACTATCACGAAATCTAGGTCCAAAGCTTCTAATTGACTGCCTTCAACCATCTAATACCAACAGTTCAAAGTGCACCGTGATGGCGAGCCACCTAGTGGCATGATGGCCACATCGCAAACTTGGTCGAGAGAGAATTCAGTCTGAGCCAAACAAACGTCTAGACACATCAGAGTAGTTACTGACTAGTGTCGAATCAAACACATTTTACTCATATAAAACTACAATTAACATCTTATCTTTCGTAAGTAGATAAGACAATCATAATATATTTTCTGATAAGTGGAAACACTTAACTTCCAAAAGTTGGGTTTTTTGAATTATCTTATTTGATGAACAAATTCCAATTTATTTCAGTTGAACTTTGAACGGAGAGAAAAATTACAATAATGAGACTAGTCCGTGCTACATTTTTACTTGTGAATGTCTAAAGATAAATTTCCAGTATAGATGATTTGTAACGGTGCTTACAGTTTACCCTGGAAAATTTTCAGGTTTGTTTTAAATACGTTTCTCGAGGTAAACGGAGAGGTCTAACAGTCGTCTACCGGTTTTGGTCTTAAATTTTTATGTGATGATGAATGTGAGCTGTTAAAGATAATCTAAAATCAGAAGAAGTTGTTGAATTCCATTAATTTTTTAAAACTTTATGCAATTCTTCGCATTAATAAACTTGAACAAAGCAAGAACAACAATTGTACCAGGATAATATGAGCTCATCTTTTATTATTTCGAGGATTCTTCCCAACTGGTTGCAACCTGAACGGTAAAAATTATGAATTACATTAAAGATATGAACATACTTTTCCACGAACATAAGGAGTAATTGGTAGGAATGAAAAGTAACATTAGTCCGGAATGATTTAACTGATTAGGAGTTACAAACATTGACTATTTATAGAATAATTAGACAATTAGGCTTGGAAATAAAAAAGATAGGGTTGCGTATATCTACGTGTGTACAGAAACACGGTTCAGCTAGAGAGAGCATAACAAAAAAGTAGATTACGTAACTATAGAAAACGTCTTATCTAATAGCCAATAGAAAAAGGAAAGAAAAGAAACAAGGTGAGGTGAGTCATGTTTAAATGAGAGAGTAGAGTTTTCTAAACATGAAAAAGGTGACTCATGAAAGTAATAGTAGTATATTTTTTGTTATCACCAGGGCAGTGCAAGATTCACCACTGTCTCTTTCTGCGTACATAGATTTGGTTTAAGTGTCGTTTGATGGCAACTGCTTCAGCGAAGCGTAGCAAGCTAGGTTTCTTTTGCTTGTTGACTACTTTAAACGACTTCAGATTGTCTACAATATGACCAGTGTCCAATAGATGACGAGCAATCGCACTGTTTAATGCTTGCGGACCTTTCAGTCTCAGGTTCTTTGGTATGTGTTCATAGATGCGGACACTAACCCTTCTCTCTGTTCTTCCAATGTATGTGCTTTGGCATGTACATGTAAATTGGGAGACACAGTTGGAGGTAACATGAGATGGGTATTTGTCCACTTTTGATTGTCTCAAACAACTAATTGTTTGATAAACATATACAAGCTTGGCGGCTGGATATGTTCTTTTCAGGATAGCGTTCAGTCTGCATCTTATTCTACTAGACGTATCATTACTTTTGAATGCAAGCTGCAGAAAGATAGGCTTTTTATCTACTGCGCTGCTTTTCACTTTTTCAACATGACGTCTCCCATACTTGTCGATGAACTTTTGTGGGTAACTGTTGTCGCGTAGGCATTTCTCCACAATGGATAGGTCTTCCTCGATCTTTTCTTCTGAACACAATTTCCTCACACGATCAAGTAATGTTCTCACCAATCCTTTTTTGTAACTTATAGGTCAGAAGCTTTTGAAGTTAAGATAAACCGCCCTCCAGGTCTCTTTTCTGTGTATATATCTTATGGTTTTGCCGTCTTTATCACGTTGGATACCCAAGTTCAGGAAATGGAACTTCTCCTCTTTTTCATACTCCATTGTAAACTTAATATTAGGGTGGGCGCTGTTCAAGACTTCTTATACTTGAGATGCATCACTGAAAGAATTACAAATAACGAAAGTGTCATCGACATACCTGGTACAGAAGTTTGTTTGACTGATTGAGGATTTTAACCTTGTTTGTTTTATACTACCCATAAAAATTTCTGCCAGAATCAGACCCAGTGGGCTTCCCATAGCGACTCCGTCAATTTGGCGGTATAGAGTGTTGTTGAACTGGAGGTGTACGTCTTTGGTACATATAAGTAATAGTTCTTTGGGTTCGTTCTTGGACAGAGGAAGAAGTTCAGCATGTTGACACATAATTTGTATTGTTTCCTCCAATGGGATCTTTGTAAACAGTGAAGATACGTCAAAGGACACTATAAATTTATTTGAGATGTTAAGATTCTCTAATTGTTTAGCGAACTGGATTGTGTCTTTCAGGCTGTAGACTGTTAATTTTCTACGGATTGGTTCCAACATTTCCGGTAGCCACCTAGCTACTTTGTGATACGGCGAATTAATCACAGATAATATTGGTCTCATAGGGATGTCAGGCTTATGCATCTTTGGCAAGCCGTGCAGGAAAGGCAGTCTGGATCCCTTAGGCTTGAGTTTGTTGTATATGTTGTTGTCAATCAACTTCTTCTTTAAAAGTTCTCTTAGATTCTTTGTAATCCATCTTTCCATCGATTCGGTTTGATCTTTCTTCCATGGATCACTTTGAAATGTTGATGAGACACTCAGAACTGATTTCACTTTTTTCACATAATTGTCTTTATCCATTATTACAACACCTGATCCTTTGTCAGGTCAAGGAATAACAATAGACTCATTTCTCACTAAGTTTTTTAGTGCTATTTGGTGATCTTTCTACAAAACTGTATATTTTGAATTCGGTGATATGATATATTGATTAGCAATGTCGACAAGTCGAGATTTAAACCAACCTTGTTTTTCATCATCCACTGGTTTTAATTTGGACAGTTGTTGGTATAAACCTTCGAACTGGATTTCAACATCAATTTTGTTGGTAAATTTCGTTGGAATGTGGAATCTGAATCCTAGTGAATCCACTAATTTTATTAAATGTTACGTTTGATAACTAAAATATCTTGAAAAAGACATCATTTTCCTTTCCATAATTCGCGTTCAACTTTATTCAGCGTTTGGACATGAAATGTTTTATCTCCATTCTTACATATTACTTAATATGACTCTGTTATACCTCGTCTGTTTTTACTAACATCTAACAGGTATGATATGCGATCTGAAGACTGTTTACACTCAACTGTTGAAGACAACTCTGCCAGATTCGTCAGATGTTCAAATGATCGCCTTCAATTACTACAGTCTCTTTGTCCATCTGCAGCTGCAGCAACAATTCTTCTTGGTAAACCTATGCACGACTCTCAGGATAATGATGATACTAATCAGGAGAACCAGTTCATCAATACACCAAATTATTCTGATGAAACTCGTGTCTTGGTAACTGCAAATGCTTGGTGTCCTGTTTCGTTAAGGACAAAAGATCCAAATTCGCAGCTTGTGTTCAACTCAACGAATAAGGAAAATAACGGTAATGGTAATGTTGGTTCAAAGTCAAACTCTCCGAAACATTCACCATCGGTAAGAAAAGCACGATTTATGAGTATTATAAATAAAAAGAATTCAATTTACTAAACCTTTCAAGCGTAAATTTGTAGAAATTTCCTTGGTATTATTTAGAAAACCATTGAAAATTAGGAAGTACTGGACAGCTGTTTCGTCCCAGTTCGCAACTCATCAACAGTTCGGGATTAAATTTGAAATAAATCAAATCCCCATGAACCAACACTTGGAAATGAGTCTAGTGCTCACTACTGACTGACAACGGAGTGGAGATGTCCAAATTTCTAGTGAGAAGTTGTGACCATTGAGGTCTACTAAGTTGGGTGTGATGAAAAATACTCACCGACAACATGTTGCGTAGTAGTCGTACTGTATATGGCGAAATCGTAAAAGTTAGAAATGACGGGAATATCAAGTTCCATTCTAGTGGTATAACGGTCAAGGCGTTCTCCTTGCTGCCTGCTGTTGAACTCCTAGTAGTGTCATACATGAAACAGATGTAGAATACTTCCTGGTATTCAGTAGTCATTCAAATGAAGTTAGTCTGTGATTAAACTTGAAATCTCTTATTATAGTTGTTGAAACATACGACGTATTCATTAACACAGGGAGTGGTTTTACTAATCAAAAATGAAATGTACTAGATGAGAAATCTGTTAACCGTATTAACAGTTTGAGTATAAACCATATATAGGTTTCATTTGTCTTCACCTTAAACAGTTCTCAAGTATTTAGAAGTTACCGTAACAAAAAAGTTGATAAGTAAACATTAAATATTAAATGCATTGGGTTGATTTGACATACTAGAGTAGGAGTCACGATACGTCCTTCAGGCTGATTTATGATATATCAAATGGGATTTTGTCTTCTTGTGGGATGATTTATTTTTTAATTTTTCATACTTAGGCAAAAATTATATCTGCGAATGGCAGTGTGATGGAAATTCCTAGTCACTCATCTTCCTCCTTTCCATAATATGAGGTGCATTAAAACGTAACTTCTCTAATGAGTAAAAATAAAACATCTTACAGCCTTTCAAGGACACAATCTATTGCATCTATGTACTAGATTATTATTCCCTTGGATACCAAGTGGTAAAATAGGGCTTGTTCCATTTGGCACTGTCATTTTCAACTGACTACCTCCACGAATGCCCATGATCTCCTCCATGTCACCCCCGCACTGACAATCCAATCGTCATTCCATTAGAATTCCATCTGAGCAATCGCCTCCCCAGCGTATGCCCGATCAATCCACCCCCTAAACATTTGTTAAACAATCGGTTTTCGCCTTTTGGTTTGTTGCCAGCCAACCAGAGCTTCCTGTTGCTAATTCGTTTCAGTCGGCTGGCTTACTGGCCATTCGATCCTCAGCATGGAGCCAGAGAAGTAGGTAGCTGTTGACATATTCTATAGTTTGTTGGAAATCCTTCTCATGATACGCATCTGTGTGTGACACCAATCACTTCTTTAGTCTTCAATTTTATAAATAAGCATTCGACGGTAAATCAATTCAACTAACACAGTAAAGACTTTTCTTTGAAGTGAAGAGAGCCAAATTTCTCCTATGGCCTTCATCAATCATTTTATTAATTCAGTAGGTTTGTGACAATAGAGGTTCTTTGAAGACACTATATACAAATGTATTCTCTCACTTTGTAGGACATAACATTCTTAGAAAGTGTATAACTTTGAGGTTTTTTCACTGATAGAGATTTGATTTATCAACTGCCTGGTGGGTTGACTGACCTTCTTTTCAGTTTGCCATAATGTGTTTATACCACAACGTTCAAGGTTAAACTGTCCCTTACCCCTTCTTTAGCACATCGTCTTCGTAAGTTCTATCAAACGTGTATTGAAGGAGACTTCTGAAGTCATTAGAAAAGTAGACAGTTTTAATAACTTTAATATTCATTTAATGCTATTAGGTGCAGGTTTCTAATTCATTTTGAGTTATTAACGGGCAATTATAAATTTTGTCTGTCCACATGCCTACTTTTTAATTGCACAAGTACTGGGATTCAAAATGACTTCTCTGATAAGGTAGTAAAAACGTGCACTCCAAGTTTACCATCTTACATCTCTGAGTTAACAAGAAGTCATTAGATAGTCCATATTCAGACAAATTCTGGATAGTCTATTAAGGGACTTGCAATGTTCAGAATATTCACAGATGAGAAACCTATTTGATGAAACCATTTAACTCACTTCCTATATATCTACTTGAACTTTTCAGTGGCGTACAGTAGGTCTGTTTATGTCGAAGACAGACGAAATGGTATCTATCTGAATTTCGACAATTACCACTTAACGAGGCAATCAATGAGAGGTGGTTACGCTGCTAGTCTTCAGAATGAAAAAATTTTACTTGATACAGAACAACAAACTAACCTTTAAAATCCACTTAGAATAGTAAGCAGGAGCGATAGCATTATTTTCTTTTAGTTGTCGAATACTACTGAAATCGGATATTAGTAAACTCGCGAGTACACTAGAAAGAAATGTAGTCAGCTTTCAAATTATTTTGGTAGTTTATTTCTCTTATTCGTCTATTTCACTAAATTCCCACTCCATACTGATTACGTTTGGTTACATTTTGCATTATTTTTCATTGGAGTTCTAACTATTTTGAGAGTTGAAAAATGAATCTAACCACTGCACCTTACAGTGTTCTTGTTTCCGATTATATCTTAATTATCTACATCAATACGTTTATGGACTCCATGCAACTAATCTCATTAATCCTCAACTTGTGTATTGTAGTTTTACTATGGTTTATTATAATGAATAGTAATTGTTGTTTGCAGCGAAAGAGAGCAGGTGAAACAAAATGACTTTTCAAAAGAAAGGTTACTAAACAAAGAATATTCTTTTCGATAACCTGCTCTCTATCAGGCTCTACGGTTATACATACATAAGATCGAATCAATAAATTTGTGTTATTAACAACATAAATGTTGTTTAAGTAACATCCAATCAATGAGTGAACATAGAGAAAACAGAGGTGATAAAGATTCCTGGCCAACACCAAAAGCAACAACAACAATCAGTCAGCATAAATCGGAGGAACATGAAAGAAACAACCTCCTCTACCTACCTACCTACCTGGGAAGCATCGTTTCAACTACAGGCGGATGGAACTGACGAGGATATCAAAGCAGCAAGAATTGAGAAAGCAAGACAAGCTTTCATTACTATCAAGTCTGTGTGGAGGTCAACAGCACTCACCATCAAAAATAACATCCGGATTTTCAACTCCAATGTGAAGTCAGTCAGTGCAACTCATTACACGGATCAGAGACCTGTCACGTCATAAAGAGTATCTCAAACAAGCTTCAGGCCTTCATTAACAGTTGTCTTCGCTCAGTACTCAAAATCAGATGGCCAGAAACGATCAGTAACAGTGATCTATGGCAGTGAACCAACCAGGAACCGATTGTGAAACAAATAGGCAGGAAGAAATGGAGATGGATCGGCTGGCCATACTGTGAGAAAACGAACAACCAAGTGACATCACTAGACAAGCCATTGCTCGAGTGGAACCCAAAAGGGAAGCGGAGAGTTGGTCGTCAGTGCTTGGGTGGGGTGACTTGGAGAAGATCATGTGAGGAGGAGATGAAAGCATGTGGGCAGACTTGGAGTGGGGTGAAAAAGTTGGCAGAAAACAGAGTGAATGTAGATCCGCAGCTTAAGCCCTATGTTTCTCTAGGAATTAAAGGATATAATAATAATAGTCAATAATTACATTGATATTAATAACTAAAATATCAGAGAAATTGGGAAAGACGATAATACAGAGAATAATCCATTTAAGGTCTACCAGGTAGGCATTAGTGTGTCTGGACTTGCTTCTTCTGCATACAAGCACTGTTTGTTTAAGGCGAATAGCCATCTTCCCTACTGTTTGTAGTATTTGGTAGCAAAGTTTCTAGCAGTTTGTTAGGTTTCCGATAGATGATGGTGAAGGACTCTTTAGTAATAGCTTTGAGGC